TCAGGGCTGGCGCCAGATGACACACGAGCAGCACCGCGACGTCGTGGGTTGCCTCCTCACGAGGCGGCGCAAGGCGACATCCCACCATCACAACTGGGGTGCCGCCGCCCCTGCAGGCGCCTCCGCCTCCCCACCGCGCCTGAGCGCAGCGTTGGGCAGCCCCCCCGCGCCCAGGGCGTGCGCGGTATGGGCTCAGTCGCCCGTGTCTCGCGAGGTCCCCCACGCCTTCGCTGCTCCCAGGCGTTCCCGCCGCTCCGCCTGCGCGCACCCGCGGAGCCTCCATGGAGGCACCTCGCCCCACGGCGCCGTCCGGGCACGCGCCGGCGCGCGGACGCCGCCGCCGTGCCCCCGCCCGCCTCTCCGGCGCCTCGTGCTCCGCGCCCGCTCCGCGCCACCCGCTGCGGAAGGGGTCCCGTGGCGGCCCGCGCGGGCGCCGGCGGCCTCCGCCCCTCCCAGCTGCCGCCCGCAGCCGCGGAGGCCGCCCGCGCAGCCGCGGGGGCGGCCCCCGCGCGCCCGCGGGCGGAGGGCACCCGTTGCGCAGGGGGGGCCCGCCGCCCGCGGGCGCCCCCGCCGATCCCCTGGCGGCCGCCCGCTGCTGGCGGGAGGCGCCTCCCCCCTCCCCGTCGCTCGGGCTCCCCGCTCCCCCTCGGCGCCGGGCCTCCCTCTTTTGCCCCAGCGCTCCCCCTCACCACCCACCAAACCACCCCAACCCAACCCGAAGGCCTCCATTTGCCCTCCATTTCCAGTGGGGGGGGGGTCGGGGAACATCGCAAAAACACCTGGAACCCGCACCCCCCCCAACCCGAAATTCGGGTCAAAGTCGGGACTTCGGGTTGGGTTGGGGTGGTCTGGTAGGCAGTCACCCCCCGTCCGGCCACACACGGACGGGACCTCCGGGTCCATGGGGGCCCAAGCAGCGCGCGGGGCGACCCGCGAGGCCCCCTGGGGCAGTCCCGACCCGTGCATGGGCGCGGGCCACCACGCCCTCGTCTCCCCGGCCTCCGCCACGCTGGAAGAGGGCTTCGAGTGCCACGACCACCACGCCGGTGCAGAACGGCACACGTGGGCCCACCAGCGCCCCGACCTTCCAGCAGGAGGGCCACAGAGTAGCACCAGGACCTCGAACCCCAAATTCCAGTCGAGGTTTTGAGCAGCCCAGCGCTCTGTAAGGCCAGGGAAGGCCTCGTCCGCAGCCCCTCTCCCGCCGGGCGCAGCCCGCCGGGGCCCTCCGCCTGCCCGGCCGGCCCGCTCGGCCTTCTCTCCGCCCGCCCCCCTTCCTTCCGGAGGCTGCCGTGGCTCTGCCGGGCCCCGCCGCCGGCCCATGGCGCCGCCCCGGCGCCGCCCCCCAGCGGGCGGCGGCGCTGCTCCGCGCAAGCGCCCTGCATCCCGCGCCCAGTGTCGCAGGCCTAGAGGTTGACACCAACACCAACATCGGCGGTGCTCCTCCACCGAGGAAAACAGATCCCGATCTCGGTGATGGTGGTAATACTCTGGCTTCCAAGGTGACCGAACTATTACCACCAGCACCGAAATCTGGGATCATCTCTCCCCTGTGGAGGCAGCCCCCTGTCTTGGTGTTGGTGCCCATTTCCAGGCCTCCAACAGTGGGCGGCTTTGCCGGCGGTATGCTGCAAGCGACGCTAAAGACATGAAAACAGTACAATCACAAAAACACCCGTCCCACTCTCCGGCCATCAGGTTTGGCGGCTGGAGCTTTGCTCCTTGGGCGTTTCAGCCCAGACTTGTGCGCGAGCCTCCTATCTCGGGAATCCAGTGCATCCAACGCGTCAGTTTCTTCCTGCGACATGGGGTGACAATTGGCAAGGCACCAGTCTCTGCACCGGGCCGGTCCTTCGCCCAGTGGGCGGCGGCGCTGCTCCGCGCAAGCGCCCCGCATCCCGCGCCCGTTCCGGACGCGGAGGGCGGCCCCGCCGTCCATCCGGCCTGGCCTTCAGACTGTCCTCTCTTCGTCGAGGCCTCTTGGATGGGGTCGGGGTAGACGGTGTCGGAGGATCGCGCCCGATGCATCGCCGATGCGGCTCGCTGCGGGGCCCCATTTGCTGCGCGTCGACGTCGCCGATGCATCGCCGACGTCGCCGATGCACCGCTGGTGCATCATCGATGCATTGCTGATTTATCGCCGATGTGTCGGCGATGCGGCGCGATCCCCTGACCCCATTTACTCCGACCCCATGAAGGAGGCCCCATCAGTTGATCCGGCCTGGTCTCCGGCCTTGCCTCTCTTCTGTCCTCTTGCTTTCTCCACCCTCTCGTGCCGCCACCCTGCGGGCCGTCCGTGGGGCGGCCACTCCGCGCCTCCGCGCCTCCACGCTTCGCTTCGCCCTGGTTTCGTCCCCTTCTCTCGCTCTGGACACTGTGCCCTTTCCTCGCTTCGTTCCCCGCCGGCCTGCGGTGACCCCCCCCCCCCCTCCTCCTGGTGCCGTCTCTCCCCGCAGGGGTTTCCAGCCCTCCTGAGGCTGCGCAGCGCATCACCACTTTCCGCACTCTGCCAACGTCGCTCGGCAGGTGTTCTCCCGTCCTGCGTCCTCGTGCTACGTCCCCCGCTTGGGAGGTCCAGCGGCGGCGCGTCACCTGTCCGCCATCCACGCCGGGCTTTTGATGCCCCTTCTCCGCGCTCTAGCGCTGCGTCCCCGTCTGGCAGGTCCAGCGTCGGGCGGTGTATCACCTCCGCGCCATCCACGCTCCACGCATGGATGCTTACTTACTCTTGCGGGCATGCATGGGATTCAAAGCGATGCCGCCTGAGGGCTCGGCCGCGCGCGCACTGGCTCCAGCCTTTGCCAAACGCGTGTGTGTATGTGTGTGTGTGTGTTTCTTGGTACGTAAGGCTCCCATGATGAGCCCGTGTGGGAATCACAGGCGCGCAGGCACATGCTGATACGAATCGCCATGGTTCCGTTCGCTTTCTGAAGTGTCCGATGTTGCCTTACTGAGATCCTGCTTTGTGCAGCTCCATCGTTTTAGCTTTCCTTTTTTTGATGTATGATTGTTTTTCCCCGCACGGTTGGGATGATGTCTGCATTGGGGAATATGTTGGATCCGAAGGCGAGCGCCATAGACGCGACTAATCACCAAGACTTGGGCACATCGTGTTTGTTTGCGTTCGGCGTTTCAGACATTTGTGTGGGTGACTGTTTCGTTTCGGGCGCAAGACTCGCGTGCATGCTCGGATTCTGTGTGTGTGGTGCGTGTGTGTGTGTTTCTTGGTGCTTGCGGCCCCCATGATGGGAGCGTCAGTGGGAATCATAGGCGGTCACGCAAAATGCTGATACTAAACGCCATGGCTGAATTCGTTTTCTGAAGAGTTCGACTTTGCCTTGTTGACGTGCTGCTTTGTGCTGCTGTTTTGTTTTAGCTTTCCATAGTATGATGTTATGCTAGCTTTCGCACGCACGGCTGGGGTGATGTCTGCATTTGCACATCTGTTAGATCCAGAGGCAAGCGCCGATGACGCGAGTAATCACCAAGATCTGAGCACATGGTCTTTGTCTGCGCTCTGTCTTTCAGGCATTTGTGCGCGTGAGTGTTTCGTCTTGGGCGCTCGACGCGTGCATGCTCGGAGTATGTGTGTGCTTCCTGGCACGTACGGCTCCCATGATGAGAGCGTCAGTGGGAGTCATATGCAGTCAGGCACATGCTGATACCAAGCGCCATGTTTCCATTCGCTTTCTGAAGAAGGCATTCGTTTTGCTGGAGCTTTCTCTATGTTTTGTTTATTTTCGTTACGACTGTGATGATGTCTGAGTTCGCACAGTTATGATATCTGGAGGCAAGCGCCGAGGACGCGACTATTCACCAACATACATATGAACACTTAGTGTGTGTGTATGTGTTTGCGTTCAGTGTTTCAGACATTTGTGTGGGTGGCTGTTTCGCCTCGGGCGCCAGACACGCGTGTATGCTCGGGCAGGTGCCTCTACCGCAATCGCGGGTCACCTCTCCCCTCCTGGGGCCGTCCACTGCTTTCCCAATCCAGTGCCGTTTTTAATACACGCTCCGCGTACGGATCATGTAGTAGAAATGCAGGGATTCAGTACTGAAATCAACGATGAGTTCATGCATAACTTTATTCCTAGATAAGTCATGTATTAAAACTCCCATATTTTTAGAAATCCCATGTATCAAAGACTGCCCTGTACATCCCAAGAGGCTCCCAAGCTGGGCCAAGGTGGCTTCAAATTGCTGCTCGACGGGCGCCCAAGACTAATAGTTACCCAAGGGAATCGCCCAAGACCACCCCAATGGACTCCCCCGAGGCTCTCCAGTTGGCCTGATATTAGGGGAACGAAAAGTGACATACACATAACCATAAACATAGACGTACTTGGGGAGACGAACAGTGACATAAACATAGACATAGACGTATTTAGGGGAACGAAAAGTGACATAAACATAACAAACTCGGAGGTCCGCGCGGATTTCTCGGATCGGCGCTGGACCCCCCTCCCTGGCGCGCGGAGCGCGCCAGGGGCGGCGCCGGAGGCGCCGCCGGGGGGCCCCAGCGCCGATCCGAGAAATCCGCGCGGACCTCCGAGCTTTTTATGTTTATGTCATTTTTCGTTCCCCTAGATATGGCCTCCAGACGGCGCGGGAAGCGTCCGAGACTGCCCGCGGGGACCCCGAGAGGACCCCCCGAAGTTGTCGTCATGTCGTCAGGCAAAGGTTGCTGATTTCCAAGAGGACTTCGGAGGATCTCAGCATCCCCGCCTTTCTGGGCTTCAGACCGTCCCAGAAGGCCCGAGAGAACTCGCACATCATCCCAAGATGGCCCAAGAGCGTCCTAAGAGAGTGCCAAGTCCGCCTACAGCTTTTGATGAGCAAGTTTGCAGCATAACAGGTGCAAGCGCTCTTTCGGGAGTCTGGCTTCATCGATGTGCTGCCGTGTATCCTTGCTGTGGGCATGTCCGATTGATCGATAGGTGGTTCTGCGGTAGCCCCCGTCGTGTCCGACCTCGGCTCTTCGCTCCTTCTTCGCCCAGGCGAGGGCGTCGGTGGTGGCAACTCCAAGATCGGCCTGGCCCCGGAGGAGTGATCGAGCTGAGGGCTGTGGCCGCTCGAGGGGACGCGGATATCCAGGAGGAGCGGGAGAGAGAAAGGCGAGAGATGGGGTATACGAGGAGGAAGAGGAGCAGGAGGAGGAGGAGGAGGAGGCGGAGAATAATAATAATAAGAAGAATAATAATAAGAAAAGGAGGAGGAAAACGATGAGGAGGAGGAAGGAAGAGGGAGGAGGAGGAGGCGGAGAAGAAGGAGGAGGAGTAGGAGTAGGAGTAGGAGTCAAGCTAGCCAGCTCGAGCGAGTCAAGCATGGCATGCCCAGTCCCACCCGCCCTCCCACAACATAAGAAGCAAAGCTGGCACAACTGGGGACCGAAGTCACACCGGCCAGCCGGTTTGGTACAGCTGATGCGGCCGCGATGGCGGTTGCCGACGGGAACTGGCGAGCGCGTGTTGAATGCCGCGCACGCATTGCCAGACGAGTCGAGAATGGCCCGGTACACCGCAGGAAGCCAGAGGTGGCCGGAGGAAGCCCGACGGTCTGACAGGACACCCCAAAGCATTTTTGTGAAAAAGCATTGGGTTTTTGATGTTTTTATGTTGAAATGCTTGCAAACACACGGTGTTCGGTAGGATTCTGACATGAACGCGCGAGTGTGCTCTTTGTGGTATTTTTTGCACAGGATTCGCGGCCTGGGTGCATGACAGAGCATCGCGAGTGCACCGCGCGATGACGTGAAATCGCTGGATTTGACAGAATTCTTAAGATTCCTATGGTTTTCCTATGATTTCAGCAAGAGAGCCCGGGCGGGAAATTTGTACATTTTTTGTGAAAAAGCATTGGGTTTTTGATGTTTTTATGTTGAAATGCTTGCAAACACACGGTGTTCGGTAGGATTCTGACATGAACGCGCGCGTGTGCTCTTTGTGGTATTTTTTGCAATGGATTATCGCCGTGGACGACAGGACGTCCATGTCGAGAGGAAAAAATAAGAAAATTGTTGGTTTTGTATTGTTTTTTACAGGTTAGGATGGGACCACCCGGATGCGCCCGCTATCTGCCGGCCTGAGGGGGGAGTAGGAGTATATTCTAATAAGGAATAAGGGCAGGAGGAGGAGGAGGAGAAGGAGGAGGAGGAGGAGGAGGAGGAGGAGGAGGAGGAGGGAGGAGGAAGAGGAGGAGTAAGAGGAGGAGGAGGAGGAGGAGAGTGAGGAGAGTGAGGAGAGTGAGGAGAGTGAGGAGAGTGAGGAGAGTGATGAGAGTGTGGAGAGTGTGGCGAGTGACGAGAGTGAGGAGATTGAGACGAGTGAGGCGAGTGAGGAGAGTGAGGGGATTGTAAAGAGTGTGACGAGTGTGGAGAGTGTAGAGAGTGCGGAGGGTGAGGGGAGTGCGGCGAGTGCGGGGAGGGATGAGAGCAAGGAAAGTGAGGAGAGTGAGGAGTGTGAGGACAGTGAGGACAGTGAGGACAGTAAGGAGAATGAGGAGAGTGAGTAGAGTGAGGAGAGTGCGGAGAGTGTGGAGAGTGAGTAGAGTGAGGAGAGTGAGGAGAGTGAGGAGAGCGAGGAGAGTGAGGACAGTGAGGAGAGTGAGGAGGAGGAGGAGAAGGTGGAAGAGGAGGAGAGGAGGAGGGGGAGGAGAAGGACGAGGAGGCGGAGAAAGAAGAAGAAGAAGGGGGAGGAGGAGAGGAGGAGGAGGAGGAGGAGGAGGAGGAGGAGGAGGAGGAGGAGGGAGGAGGAGAGGAGGAGGAGGAGGAGGAGGAGGAGTAAGAGGAGGAGGAGGAGAGTGAGAGGAGTAGGAGGAGTAGGAGGAGAGTGAGGAGAGTGAGGAGAGTGAAGAGAGTGAGGAGAATGACGAGAGTGTGGAGAGTGTGGCAAGTGAGGAGTGAGGAGAGTGAGGAGAGTGAGGAAAGTGAGGAGAGTGAGGAGAGTGTGGAGAGTGTGAAGAGTGTGGAACGTGTGGAGAGTGAGGAGAGTAAGGAGAGTGCGGCGAGTGCGGGGAGTGAGGAGAGCGATGACAGTGAGGAGAGTGAGGAGAGTGAGGACAGTGAGGACAGTTAGATGAGTGGGGAGAGTGAGGAGAGTGAGGAGAGTGAGGAGAGTGTGGAGAGTGTGGAGAGTGCGGCGAGTGAGGAGAGCGTCGCGAGTGAGGAGAGTGAGGAGAGTGAGGACAGTGAGGACAGCGAGTTGAATGAGGATAGTGAGGAGAGTGAGGAGAGTGTGGAGAGTGTGGAGAGTGTATAGAGTGAGGAGCGTGAGGAGAGTACGGCGAGTGCGGGGAGTGAGGAGTGATGAGAGTGAGGAGAGTGATGTGATGGAGGACAGACAGGACAGTGAGGTGAGTGAGGAGAGTGAGGAGGGTGAGAAGAGTGAGGAGAGTGTTCAGGGTGTGGAGAGTGAGGAGAGTGAGGAGCGTGAGGAGAGTGAGGAGAGTGAGGAGAGTGAGGAAGGTGTGGATAATGTGGCGAATGAGGAGAGTGTGGAGAGTGTGGAGAGTGTGGAGAGTGTATCGAGTGAGGAGAATGACGGGAGTGCGGCGAGTGCGGGGAGTGAGGAGAGCGAGGAGGGCGAGGAGAGCGAGGAGAGTGAGGAGAGTGAGAACAGTGAGGTGAGTGAGGAGAGTGAGGAGAGTCAGGAGAGTAAGGAAGATTAGAGTGAGGAGAGTGAGCAGAGTGAGGAGATTGCGACCGATGGGGGAGAATGTGGAGATTGAGGAGAGTGCGGGGAGTGAGGAGAGCGAAGAGAGTTAGGAGAGTGAGGAGAGTGAGGAGAGTGAGGAGAGTGAGGAGAGTGAGGAGAGTGCAGAGAATGTGGGGAGTGTCGAGAGTGATGAGAGTGACGAGTGTGTTGAGAATGAGGAGAGTGAGGAGAGTGAGGCGAGCGAGGAAAGTGAGGAGGAGAAAGAGGAGGAGGAACAACACAAACGACACTACTACTACTACTCCTACTACTTCTTGTACTCCTGCTAATTATCCTCCTACTCCTCCTCCTCCTCCTCCTCCTCCTCCTACTATTACTACTACTACTACCACTACTACTACTACTACTACTACTACTACTACTACTACTACTACTACTACTGTTACTACTACTACTACTACTACTACTACTACTACTATTACTACTACTACTACTACTACTACTACTACTACTACTACTACTACTATTACGACGACGAAGACGACGCCGCCGCCGCCGACGACGACGACCACGACGACGACGACGACGACGACGACGACGGTGGCGGCGGCGGCGGCGGCGGCGACGACGACGACGACGACGACGACGACCACGACGACGACGACGACGATTACGACGACGACGACGACTGCTGCTGCTGCTGCTACTACTGCCACTACTGCTACTACTTCTACTACGGCTACTACTTCTACCACTTCTTATTTTTCTTCTTCTTCTTCTTCTACTACCACTACTACCCGTACAATTACTGCTAATACTACGAATGAGTATAACAGTATTAGTAGTAATAATCATACTAATAAGTGTAGTAGTAATAGTAGTCGTAGTAATGATGATATGAAGAGGAGGAGGCAGAGGATGAGGAGCAAGAGGACGAGGAGGAGAAGGAGGAGGAGGAGGGAGGACCAGTGTAAACCCAAGAGTTACCAACGATGTTGGAATAAACCCTCCCCCCGAGCTCCCTCGTCATAGGCCCCTACAACGCTTCATTTCCACAGAGGGACCTGCCTCGTTGGAAGACAACCGTTTGAAGACCCTGAAGCATGCCAATACATATTCTCGGTATTCCAACGCCACGGGTGAACCTGACTGTTGCGTCTTGATGACCCTGAATCGTGCCAGAATGCCATTCTTGGGACGTCAACTCTGCGAATCATCCTAACTGTTGCGCCCTCATAATCTTGAACCTTTCCAACACGCCATGTCTGGTACGTCGATCATGGGAATCCTTGATGCTCTTGCATACTCTTGCAATCTTCCAGAATGTGCTCGGCGCTAAGGCGAGAGCCACATTTTGAAAAGGAACCGCCCTCAATCCGTGAAGCACTTGCACATTTTGAAAACAAGTGTGCGCGGCGCTAAGGCGAGAGATACATTTTGAAAAGGAGCCGCCCTCAATCAGTGAATCTCTTGCACAGTTCGAAGACGAATGTGCGCGGCGCTGAGGCGAAAGCCACATTTTGAGAACCGCCCGCCCTCCATTCGTGAAATTGTTGTTAATTTTTAAGCTTCAGGGTTATCAATGGTGAGGAAGTCTCAGGCGAAACTCCCGGCCCGCCCTAAAAACTAGCCTCAGGGTGCGACAGGGAGAAATTGCTTATACGGAGAAGGAATGGAGGAGGAGGAGGAGGAGGAGGAGGAGGAGGAGGAGGATCAGGAGCAGGAGGAGGAGGAGGAGCAGGAGGAGGAGGAGGAGGAGGAGGAGGAGGAGGATGAGGAGGAGTGCTCAGCCCATCTGTCAGGCGATCGCAAACATGGATTAAGGGGACGTGGATTAGCGACGGGTTCCGTTTCCCTGAGGAAGCGCGGGTTCCAGCCGCCGAGCGAGGCGGCACCGGCCGCATTTTGGGGAGGGCACCTCCCCCGATTCATGGATTTGGCCGACCGCGCGCCTAATCCACGGATCGCTAATCCATGTTTGCGCGCCCCCGAATTTGCTTACCTCCGGGTTCCCTCGAACCCGTTTTTTTGTAATCCTTTTTGCTTGCAAGGTCTGGTGCTGTCAAGACATCGTCGTCACATGCGGAATCCGGTACGTACATATCTCACATGAGGCAGACTAAATTGCCTCCTCATCCAGCAAATCCTCTCTTTCGTTGGTGTATGGTGTATATTGTGCAGACTGGGCCGGTGATACCCCTGGCAATCGCTGCATACATCGTGTCAAGGTAGGTTTTTTGTCTAGCAGCTAAGCTGCTTGAAACCTCCCTCAACATAATTTACCTGCAAACGTGAGGTAAGGCCTCTCGGGAGACAGGCACTTCTCTGAATTCACACATGTGAGGGCACAATGAAGACCTGGCATTCTGATGGCGACAACTCTTGTTGGAGCCCTTCC